GGTTTGGAATCCGTATCTGGGGCAAACAAGATGGATCCAAACCAGAAAGTATTACCGTGATATTGAATGGAAAGGACGAGATTTTTACAAGTACGCTCTAGGATATGAAAATAATAGCGAAAACAAATCTTGTCGTAGTCCCAAAATCTTGAGGTTTATAGATGATTTCAAACGTTACCCCAACAACCCCGCTTTACGATATGAAATCTACGATTTTGATTCTGATTTATGGACTACTCTTGATGTCTCTCCATACTGGCGTATAATGTCCTACCAGGGCATTTCTGTCAAGGGAAACACTTACTGGGGCGTTGTAGAACGGAACGCAAATACACACATTGAACATATAATGTGTTTTGATTTTACAAGTGAGAGATTTGGACCGCTTCTCCCTCTGCCGTTTAAGGCTCAAGGTGCTCAGTTTGCGTTACTATCTTCGGTTAGAGATGAGAAGATCGCGGCTTTATTTCAAACACGCCTAACATATAAGGTGAAGATATGGATTACGACTAAGATTGATGCCAAAAATGTGTCATGGAGCAATTTCTTTACAGTGAAGATGACATACCTTGACCGGAGGCTTTCATTTAAGAGTTTCTTCATCGAAGAGGAGAAGAAAGTTGTTGTGGTTTTTAATAAACCAAAAACTCTATGTGACACTATTAAAATAATTGGAGAGGCTGGATGCTTGAGCGAATTGGAGCTTGGAGAACCCGCCAACAAAAATTGTTGGCCAGTTGGGTGCTCTTATGTTCCAAGTATAGTGAAAATCAAGCAACATAGAGAAGATAAAAGGAAAAGAACAAATTAAAGTGATTAGGAAAGGCATCGATATGATCAAAACATGTTAGACATGAAAAACGAACGAAGCAAGAGGATGTGGCAAAAGGAGAAAACGAGAGTTGATTAGTCTCAATTTACAAAGGCTTTGAATGGTTGTATAGTATGCAGCAAAGCGGACTAAAATCAGATCAGTCTGCACTTAATTCACCATTCACTATTCCGGACTAGTATGCACTGTTGCATATTGAAAATCTCCATACTAGTATGCACTTCAGCATACTTCTCCATACCATCATAAATTCACTGTTGGTACGCATTTTTTCAATCCACTCCCCAAAAGCTCCATACCAACATAAACTCCATACCAACATATAATTGTTTGCTCCATACTATAGTCCGACTTTCTGCATACTAAAATATTGGTATGCATTGTCCGGTCCGCACCGTACCTACCAACCATTCAAGACCAAAGACTAGTTTTATTATATGTCTGTCGTTTACCTTTTTTTCTTGTAGCAATATTAATTTGTCTCTTCGATTCTTCCCATCTATTGTTCAATATGAATAAGGTTTTATGTTTTTTAATTTTTACAAAACCACTAGGTAAACCAACCTCAGGAAATGATTTGGTGAGTCGGGTAATAATCCTACTTATATTCTCCTTTGTGGTCAGGTTGTTAATGCAAGTCGTAAACATAGAATATAGGTTGCAAGTGACACAAAAGCCTGGCTCAACTTTATAACCATCCCCACCTCTCTTGGAATTGAATATTTGTATTTTGAAACTTTTTTTTGGTTATTTTACTAGTAAAATCTGTTTATCAGTTCAAATTGTTTACTTATTAAAAACTTAATAGTAGGACTTGCATAGAATATGGATGAGATACCAAACTGCACTAAAAGAGCAAAACCATGACTATGAGTATGAAAGTTATAGGACTACAAACTCTAGAAAATACTCGATTTGGTGTCTTAAGAATGTAAACAACTTTGAGCCATATCCATTTTTCTACTAATTAATTACATAGAGAATACTCGTAGCAACATAGAAGAGAAACCAAACAGAACTAAAAATGACCACATATAATTAATTAATTACATAATGTTTTGGAGTTGCTTAAGGACACGGGTTACTAGGCTGCAAGCCCATCCTATGGATCCAAGCAACAACCTTGTTCCTGATTTTGGTGCTTTGTTAGCTGATGCTGAACCTTATCGAACGGTTGGTTAGAAAGCTTATATATCTTACTATCACTTGTCATGACATATATTTTGGTGTGAACAAGCTTTGTCATTTCTCCTAAGCACCTACATAGCCTCATCTTCAAGCTATTCATAAAGTTCCATTAGCTTAATGGGACTATAGGGCAAAAAATATTTTCAGGTAAAAGCTTTATGTGATTCGACTAGGTACATGTGTCAGGTAAAACTTAAAAAGCTTTATATGATTCAGATAGTCGAAGGTAAACTACGCTTAAATGGAAAAACATGTACGTAGACACCTCCATTGCAATTGCCACACCAGTGAGAACAAATCCAATAATTCTACGTTACGACCTCTTATGCATTATCTTCGTATCTTATGTTTTGAATAGAAAACAAAATACTAAATCACTTTACACAATCTCAAAAAATTAATGATAAAAAACGAGATACCAAAGGTGACAACTGACATGTTTGATAATTGTGTCACATATCTTTATTATCATTTGTGCTTTGGTGTCTCGATCGTCCCTTTTATCATTGTTGGTGATTATGTGTAAAATGATGTTTATATTTATTTCTGCCAAAAAATAGAGTACGAGGAGACGGCTGAAGAGGTAGCAACGTTGAATGATTGGAAATGCCCGAAGTGAATATTCAATTACAAACTTAGATGATATGAATAAATCCACTATTTTCTAGTTGATTTTGAATTGCAAACCTACAAATCTTAAGAGATCAAAATACTTTAAAACATTAAACATGATTAAATTGATGAAATTTGTTCTCAAGTTCTTTTGTTGAAGACATACCTTGGCTACTGTTAAACATACAATTAGGGATATCCTTAGAGATTATAGTTCTAAAAAATCAAGCAAACAAATTTATTAAATTTTAATATTTATAAGTAACTCTAAAGACCGCATTTTTCAAATTGCTTTAAGCCTCTAGATACTTAGGGACCGACCATGCTGATTATGAACAACACTGATTAGAACATATTTTACTCTGCTATCAAAATAATCAATCAGTTCCAACACATGAGAGAATACAAAAGACATGCTATCATACAATATATTCTCAGAAAATATTTATTCAACTGAAAGAGAAAACCAAACCTTGCTACGTACTTGGAGCACAACCGTGATATTGAATACGTGCAAAGGTAGAACGATCTTTACTTTTTGTTTTGTTTAGGAGTATATTCTTACTCTTCGGTTCTTCTATTTTTTTTCTTCTGGTTTATCATCCGATGGTTTTTCGACTTCTTTCTTATCCTCTTTTCTCATCCATTTTTTCATTTCGCATTATCATCCATCTTTGCAGCGATTTTGAACCTCGAACATAATGTATTTGGGCAACACATACACCAAACATGCATGTACTGAGTTTCTATAGATATATCCATATCCGTTGCTCATTTTGCAAATAGCCACAACATAATAACCAACAAAAATAGATTGTCGTGACTTGAGATCATAGCTATTTTATTACAATTCTTGCTTGCTCAACACATATCTCTTAATTGAAGCCAATTTTTCATCCATTTTTGAAACAAGTACTTTGGCCTTTGTTTGGGATATGAGGTTCTTGGGGTTTCTTTTTCGTACAAAAGTTCCGATGTTTGGAGTTGGAAAGTGATCAAGGAAGACTAATTTGTCTCTCTTGTGAATGAAATTGTTAAAATGATGTGATTCGTAACCCATATTGGTATTTTACTATAGTGATAGTTTATTCTTTGAAAAAAAAAACGTTTTGAATTTTGGATATTGGATCATGTCGTAGTTTGTATTTATTACTCCGCTAATCAAATTAGACGTTTTCATTTAGTGAGTTCACAAACTCGTACATGAAAGAATAAAATATATGCGGAGGTGGTACTAGACGTTCTCAGTGACTCGCGGAGGTGAAACTAGGGCGTTTTCGGTGACTCGCGGAGGTTGTTCTAGTGGTAGTAGAACTTTTAGCTACTAAATCCAAGGTAGAGGTGATGACTGGAGTTTATCAACAGTTCATTGTAGATATCCGAACCAAACTTGTTAGCCGTAGAAATAATGATAATGTTTGTTTTCGACACTTTTCTCAAAGAAGATACGAGAACCATGTTCAAGCTCTATGTTCTGACGTGAATCACTTTATCATTTTGTCACACATAACCAAAGTTGCTATTGTTGTTACTCCTTCTACCCCTCCCAAGTCCTAAAAAAAAAGATTTTAGGACTTTTATTAGTAATGAATAAAATAATGTGTGTCTACTTTTGACTTTTGTTAGTATTAATTGTACTTGTTAAATGAATCATTTTGCATGGAGACCAAAGAAAAAAGAAACAACGTACACCTAAACAACTTCGTTACTAGAGATGAACATTTAAACCAAACTGAACCGTAATAACTGAACTCAAACCGACCCAAACCAAACCTAAGCTTAGATTCAATAATTCGGTTATGTTTCTTTCTCAACCCAAATGAGTCAGAAAACTGAACCGAACCGATAACCTAATATATTTATTTAATTAAATAATTAATTATATTAATGATATTGTATATAAGTATATAACTAAATATGTAATTTTTTCATGGTTTATTTGAATTATTCAATTTAAACTTACAACTTCAACGTGTTGCTTACTTTAATATATTATCAAATTCAAAGTTCAAATGACAATGAACTAAAGAATTTTGTTTTGTTACATTAATTAATTTTTTGAACTGAACTAAAACCAAACAAAACCGAACCAAACATAAACTGATCCAAACACAAACCAAAATAAACTAATCTCGGTTGAGTTTGGTTAGATTTATGAGACCTGATTAAACCAAACGGAACCGAATCTAAACCGAACCAAAAGTTAAACCGAAATGTCCACCCTATCCGTTACCGGTTACTCCATCAAAATCACATGGATTAGTCTAACCGGGTCGTGACTCATTACATTGTCCATTGATCCGATCCGACCCGACTTGCAAGTAGTTAGAAAATGTGTAGCTTCTTCGTCTTCTTCTCCGTTACTACGAAAAAAAAAACCCAAAACCCAAAAAATCAACAAAAATGGAGATTCTCCGCAAATTCAAATTTCCCGGGAGATCCAAGTCTCCGATCTTTGCTTTCACAGTCACCGGCCTAGCTCTAACTGCCGTCACTAGCAGCGCCACCGCCGTGTCTATCTTCCGAGACTCTCCTTCCAATAAAATCGCGACGGCTGTTGAAGGCGTCGTCCGTTCTTCTCGCGCTATCTACTCCGTTCGTATCTTCCTTATCTCTATCGGTTTCATCATTTCCTCTTTCCAATTCATTCATTGGATCTCTTGTTGTCTACTTGTAGATCACTCTCACCGTCGCCGATTACAAGTATAGCTTGCGTAGATTACCAGCAGATTCCGATGAGTACCTTCAGAGATTAACAGAGGTATAATAATACTGATTTGAACTTATTGGTGGTCAAATTCTTTATTTTCTCACATTCGTGTTAAGTTTTGGTTTAAGGAATTGTAGTTATCATATAGTTGGTATATGTGGGCATGCAATACATTTATTTCGCGTAGTTGGTTGTACATTTCTAAACTTGGCATGTGTAGTCATGTATTCCGTTATACTTCGTGTAGCTGAGTATCTTTTTTCCTATTAATATCTCTAGGAGTTTGTTTATCTACCAGAGTTAGGCTCATTTTGCTTGTAGTTTGCATTACATTATGATCGCATTAATTTCGTGATCGGGGAAGGCAAGTTATTAGAGTAGTGATATGATTGATTGTTGCAGTATACTTCACTAGTTGTATATTACTATGTCTCTATATGGTAACATTCAGTCATTTTGATTGTGTAGGTTCATTCACGGTCTGCTAAACGAATTCTTAAGCTGTGTGAAAGTAATAAAGGTTTTTATGTGAAAGCTGGTCAGTTTGTGGCTACGTTGAAGCTGGTTCCGAAAGAGTACTCTTTGGCTCTTTCGTCGTTGCAGGACAAGGTAAGAATACTGTTATAGTTAAGTCCTTAAACATTTGTTTTCTTTGTTACAGTCTGAAGAAAGGATTCTAATTGTTTGTTTTGTTTCTAATTTGTTTTATCTTGTAAAATCTTTGTAGGCAGTTCCTTGTAATTTTCAAGAAATAAAACATGTCCTGACAAGTAATTTGGGTCAAAATTTAACAGAGATGTAAGTCTTTTAGAGTTATTCCAAAACCATCTGTGTATTAAGTTAAATGTCAGATTTTGTTTCTTGACTTGTGTTTTTGCAAGAGGTTTTAACATTGCTATTAGTTAAAATGTCAGATTTTTATCTTTTGATGAGGAACCAATTGCGGCAGCATCTATTGCTCAAGTGCATCATGCTGTATTGAAGAATCACCAGGAAGTAGCAGTAAAGGTTAACTCCTCATAACGATAACTGTTTTAATTTTCTATGTTCTTTCTGCAACAACTTGAAGAATCACCATGTTTTCATCATTCATTTGGGATACTTGAAAGATTCGTCTTTGAATATTTTCTTTCTCTTTTACTGTGAATCTTATTTACCATTCGTCATTTATGATGCTGCTTTTTTAAGACGTAACTGGGGCATACCTTGGTCCTCTTGATAATATTAAGTCACCAGATTCTCAATTTTTATGGATTTCTATTTTGGTGTTAATATAGGTGCAATACCCTGGATTGAAGCAGAACATGAAGTTGGATACAATGATCATGTCGTTCCTGTCAAAATCAGTGGCGAAGGTGCATGTATTTTCTTGTTGCCTTATATCTATACAAGAACATGAAGTTAGATTGAAACAAAATATGTTTTCGTACAAGCTGTTCATAAAATATGAAAGACGTCATATAACTAACTGATCTAGGATACTGGAATTTGATGGGAATAGGATATTTTGATGATAACATATTTGAGGTTTTAGATTTGAAGTTCGGAAAATATTTCCAGTGTGCTGCATTAGTTTATGCTGCCTTGCGAAAAGCTTGGGCATGGTCAGATTACGAGGACTTTGTTATTTTACTTCCTTCTAATTTCATTAGTTTTGCCGGTGATTGTGACATAAGCTTGTGTTGTTGTGGAAGGTGTTAATTGAGATTGATGATGCAATAACATGAACTGTCTGTGCATCTCTGATTCATATATTTATAGGCTGCATATCATATGCAGGCGCCTATTGTTTCTTAGAGTTCTTTCTTCCTTTTCCACTTCGCAGATATTTCCAGAATACAGATTTGATTGGCTAGTTTATGAATTCGTAAAGTCAATTTCCCAGGAACTTGGTCAGTAAACTAAAACTTCAGAACCAAGCACTGCATTGTGCACATGTGTTTGTGTTTTATTCTTCAAATGTTGAAAATGTCAATATCAGTGAGGCCTATATGTACACAATACGTGTTGTAGAATATTTATTACATTCTTTCTCTAGAGTTTTGTATAGTGAATCTGATGATTTCATCTCTGCTTTAATTTTCTTGTCCACAGATTTTATACAGGAGGCAAAAAATTCAGAGAGAATTGCCAAAAACTTTAAACATAACAAAATGATTACAATTCCTACGGTGTTTTGGGTATGACTTGAGAATTTTCATAACTATACCAGTATCATTGATTGCATGGTCTTTGATTTTGATGTCAATTTTTTTTTGCCCATAGTCTTAGTAGTTCGTACATGTTGAATCGGCATTTTGTTTTCTTAATATTGTCATCCATATTAATATTCAGGAGTTCACAACCACTCAAGTCCTGACAATGCAGTTTTGCAAGGGTTTCAAGGTAATGATGTTCAACACAGTTAATCAATTATACAGTTTATCTGTTATCCTAGATCTGAATTATGTTAAGAATGAAGTCTGAAGCAATCTCAAACAATTTAATTCCTTAAAAGTAGTTAGAAATGAGATTGGTGTTTAAAGTTTTATAGCTAAAAGGCTGAAATATGGAAAAATCATGTAAATTTCTTAAAAGGACTACAGTGTTGGAGAAAGAATGTTGGAATTTGGTTATAACGCCTAGAAAGCACTTGATCATTTCAGATAGTTAACTTGTCTAGTAATAAAAAATTAGTATCTCATGAAGTTCTATGCAATAAATAGTTGATGTACATTATCTGTGATTAATTTAAAACGCAATATATTTTGATTTTCCCTTTGCTATAGATTTGAATCTGGGATAAATTTTTCAAACCAGATACCTCTTTGAGTTTCATTTGTGGTTTACTTATGTAACTTAACATTATATTTTATATCCTTAGAGATCCTCATGCAGCTTATCGTGTGTATTGTAATTCTTGTACGTTCAACCAACTCAAATTTCCTTAGGTTTCAGGTTGACGATGTGGAATCCCTCAAAAGCACTAATGTAAGTCCAGAAAAGGTTGGTAACGACTTCTTATGCATAAGTTAAGAAATACAGCTTTGGCCTGTGGCAAGCATTTGACCTGTCAAATATACGCTTCTGATTTATTTACTGAAGCATGAAAGTTTTTTCCCATATTACCATAGGTTGCTAAAGTGTTGGTTGAAGTGTTTGCTGAAATGATATTTGTTCACGGATTCATACATGGTGATCCGCATCCTGGAAATATACTAGTTTCTCCTGGAGGCCAGAATGGTTTCTCGCTAGGTACCTTTTGTGTTCGTAATTCTATTATGCCCTCTCACTATTTCCAGATTCTAATCATAGAACTTTTAATCTTCTTCAAAATTACTACTGGATGGAAAGTTTTGCTAGACCATGGGAACTGTAAAACATTGGATGAAGCATTTAGGCGGGACTTTTGTCGGTTGTGGGAGGCTTTGATTCTTCTAGACTCAAACAAGATACAAGAATTAGGTAAACAGTTTGGAGTTGGAAAATATGCCAAATTCTTCCCCGTCATTTTCACCGGAAGAACTAGTGACAGGTATATATGCGCTCTTTCTCTCCAGCATTGTTTTGTAGTAAAACTGAAATAGTAGACTAGACTTTGTTGATCCTGAAGATAAAGTATGATAATAAGACCGTAGAGACAACGATGCATACTTTGGGTGCCGTTTACATTTTTACATGCAAAAGGACTTATTCTTGTTCCTGCCTCTTCTTGGTAATAGCAAATCAGGACTGGGAAAAGGAATGTCTATACAAGAGAGGCAAAAACTGAAACAAGAGCTCAAGCTTCTGAGATTGGAAGATGTTACAACTTTCATGGGGTCTCTTCCACCTGACTTTCTAACTGTACTGCGAACAGAGTACAATCCTCGATCCTCGGTTATTTAGAAATTGAATCTGGAAATAATTTTATTTATGACCTCCTTGTTTTGATTGATCTCAGTGGACTCATACGTTCAATCACTCTGAAGTTAGGTGCTCCACAACGGGTGAGACTACTCGCTTATGCGAAATATGCGGTATACGGGCTTGGCTACAAACCAACTTCTGAATCAGGTTACTTTGTTTGAGAATTTCAACTTATCTATTCAATTTTATCAAGGATGAAGCTATAGATTTTGGTTTTGCTCTATCCAGATTTTGTTGAGAAGTCAATAATCTCCAGATCGGTAATGTTAATGAGTTACCTTCGGTTACGTTTTATTCTAGGTAAGAAACTACTATCCAAATGATCAAATTATACTCAAAACTCTTGTGTGTAAATTTCAAACTATTTTTTTTTTGGTATCAGAATTGATGGAACTCTTTCAAGGAATGAAGAAGCTAAAACATACCATCTACGGTTTCTATGGGCAACTCGTTGGCAGTATCACAAATAGTGTAAAGCGAATTATATGCAGCATATGAAATTATTATTATGATGTAGAAATTGGTTCAAAAGTGTCTTTGAAATATTATTTATCTGGACGGATATAAGCGAATCGACTCTTTGGCATTTGATGTTGTCACAGATAATCAGAACTAGGAAGTTAGGAACCCATATAATTTGTGGGTTTGGTATTTTAATTTATCCCTAAATTTGTCCCACATGAATTATTAACATGTTCCCAAGATCCAAGTATAATGAATACATAGAAAATATCTTTGAAGATGGAGGAAATGAAATGATCGAGTTAGATTTGAGGAAGACGTGAAAGGCTGAAACCAATGACTCTCTGTGCAACGAACTTTAATCAAAGAAAATCCAAGAACCGACCTGACCACATCGGTTACTCTTGGTTTAAACCGAGAATTGAAGAATAAATAACTCTAGTTGCATTGGAACTTGGAAGGTTTTCAGAAGGTAATAAATATCAAATTAAAATTTATTTTTCATATATGAAATTGTAGAGCTTTAAATTTTATTTTATTCAAAGATTCATTTCCATATATACTTTATTATTTTGTTGACTAACTAATGTAAATCTTTTTCTTTTTCTAAAAGAGTTAAATTGGACAAGAATTAATTTTGATAGAAGTCCTAGAACTTAATCTATTTGAAATTACGTTTCTATATTTATTAAATTTATGTATTTACTTATATTTTCTTTATTTATTATCTTAATATTTCAAAAACAATCGAAATTTAAATCTTAATTTTACAAAATTTTCTCTTTCTACCGGGTTTTGTAACTATTTTGTATTTTATTATTTTAATTGAAAATATTTTATTTCCTTTAGATTAAATTACTTCTGAACTTTTTTTTAAAATGAAATATTATAAATAACCAAAAATTCTTAGAATTTATTTATTGAAAAATATTATCATTTTTCACATTTTTTCTTGACTACCGAAATCATGTCATATGTTTTCTTCCAAGAAAGTTAAAGTTGATATATATATATATATATATATATATATATATATATAATGTTTTGTTAAAAGTATATTTTATTATTTATTGTTTAGTACCTTTTTGTTTAAGTAAAAAATCTTTTATTGCTTCTTAGTAAAAACAAATTCTGAATTTCCTTTTAGAAAATGTTTCCCAAATTATTTTATTCCAATTATGTTAAACTGGATTTACTTGAGAATTATTTTCTGTATTTACTTCCAAAAAAAGAGTTATGTTGTGGACTAATTTTTATTTTTTTCGTTTTATATATACTCTCAACACGTTGGGTGTAGTATTTTTCATAACCAAACTAACTAAGATCCATGAGTAAAGTGATATTTTCTCCTTCTCGTTTCTTCTCTTTATCGAATCCTCAATCAATTGAGAGGAAGAATGTGAGGGAAATCAAACTCACTAGATATCTCAACAAATTGTTAAGTGAATATAAGTATGTAATTATCTCCTTTTGTATATAAATATTTTTTTCAATTTTATATATTGATATTGGGTGGGTGTGAATCTTTACAAATAAAGATTTGCGTTTGAATTGATTTTCTTTTGCATCGTTGGTGCTTGGGAGTTCCTCGCATTGCTCTTAATTTCCATAAAAAATGAGCATACAATTTTTTTTAAAAAATATTCAAATATTTACTAACCATAACTATACTTGGATTTAGGGATTTGTAAAAAGAGGCAAAGGATCTCATGTAACTTTCAGATTTTGAGCTATGACTCTAAGGTATGTACTTTATCACTTTAATTTGCTATTTTATTGATGCTTGATTAAATTTTAAATACCTTTGTAATTAAAGAAGTAAGTTCTGCTTTTGTTTTTTTATATATGATTTCGTTAGGTTGTGAAATTGAAAGCATGATTTAACATTTTTTTAGTTGTTTGATTTCTTTCTCTATGAGAAATTAAAACATAATCCATCTATATATAATATATAGTTTTCTTAAAATTTTCTATTGTAATATTGGGTGCGTAAATTTATATAAAAAAAAAATTTGTTAGTGATTTGATTTTATTATACCATACTTTTGGCATCGCCGCTATTGGGTTCCTCCCATCGTTCATATTACAAAATAATATAATAAGATATATTTATTAAATTAAAAATAAAATTAAAAAACACTTCGATGAAAACAAAATTATCTTTTCTTATTACCGTGATTCTTCTTTTCATTATTAACCAGGCGATTAAAAGTTTCATTTTAATGAGCAATCTGTAAATCCTACTTTTGGCGTGGTTGAAATCATAGAGAATTTAAAATAAATATAAGTTTTTTACTAAAAATTTATTCACTACAAATGTATTTGGATTTAGGGATTTGGAAGTGTAACAGGTGAATCACAGATAAGTTTCAGATTTCAGAGTACAACGCAAAATTAGGTAAATACTTTTTTGCATTATTTATTTTTTTGTTGGTGTGATTAACCGTCATAAAAATTTGTAAATAAATCAATTGTGATATAGTATTTATATCCGATTTTGCTATGTTGAGTGAAATTTTTAAAAAGCATATTTTGATATTTTTTGATGATTTGTTTTACAATATAATTAAAATTTGATTTTTGATTGGTTTTCTAATTTAGAGGATAAATATGTACGTCCAAAAAATTAGATTTATATATCCAAGCTGTGTGATTCCAAGGGTTTGTATATCAAGAAGGTAAAAAAAATTTCAATTTATTTTATCTAAATTTCATATAAAACCTCTGCTAAGAAAAATTGTTCTAGAAATTTATCGTCTTTAGGGATATCTAATATGAAAGGTAAAGTATATATATAAAATTTTCATTTTATTAAGCTTTAAATACTAGTTCTCTATATGAATCCAAAAGTTTTAATTTTAAGGTTAGTAAATCTAAATCTGACTTTAATCATACCACAACAGCATCATAAGATGAAGATAAAGTACCAAACAATCCTACAAAAGCAATGTTGTCTTGAACATGTAAGAAAGGTTGGTGGTTACCTGGTTGGATCTCAACAGAAACCATCCGAGAAACTGAAGGTTGATCTATCCTTGCCCGTTTAGTTTTACGACAACTTCCACTAATTGGTACATTCCTTAAAGCCCCACCATCAGTCCAATATCTACGATAGTCCTTGCAGAAGTAGCACGGTTGAGTCTCACTGTAGTTGTTGTAGTAACAAAACAGTGTTGTTAGAATCACATTTTGACAACACTAAGTTTTGTTATTACATAAACTACTGTGAGACTTACATGTGCCACTTGTGCAAGAACTGTCGCAGATACTGAACTCATGGTGGAGTTTTAAGGAACGTTCTAATTGGTGGAAGTTGTCGTAAACCAAGCGGACAAGAGTAGACCAACCTTTGGTTTCTCGGATGGTTTATGTTGAGATCTAACTAGGTAACCATCAACCTTAGCTTTCTTATATGTTTAAGATAACATCAAGTTTATAGGATCGTTTGGTGCTTTAGTTTGAAGGTTAGTAAAGTTAAATCTTAGATACTTTGTGGTATTTTAGAAAAAATGTGTAGTATTTTTTTTAGAATAACCATAAATATTTATTTTTTTTGTAAAATGGTAAATAATTTTTTTTAAAAATGAAAGTCATTTTAGAATATATTTTTTTGAAATTTATATTATTATTTAACTATTTAAACTATTTTCTAATATTATAATACTCAGATAAAAATATTTACTATTAGTTTCATTAAAATACTATATAATAGTAATACTAGAAAAATTAACCGGCCCAAAAGTACGGAAATAGAACCAAACCAAAAATTTAAAATACTCTAATGGATCCTACACTTTAGAACGAAAGAACCAAAACATAATCGGTACCGAACTGAAAACACCCGAAATACGGAAGGACACACACAAATATTAGTTATTTTTAGACACACTATTCGAAATACCTAAAATATCAAAAAAAAATACTCAGAAAAATATCCAAAATACCAGAACATACCAAAAAATACTAAACCCAAAAATACCCAAAAAAGTGAAGGGATCTGAAAGTGCAGAACTGAAAAAACCGGACCGAACCGAATAAAACCAAACTCGGAACTGACCCAAATAGCCAACCCCACCTACCAGATAAGAGATTGAGGAAATGAGACATTCAAATTTTACCAAATTTCTTCAGTTTCTTAAGCTTTGATGCTGAGTCTTGCTTTGAGCTCATCAACGACTACATCGATGAAATTCTCTGTGTTCATGTAAGTGTGAAAGCTTGGAAACCCGATAACAAACAAACGTAAATCTTAGTAATCTTGATGAGAACATGGACTTAAAGGCAATAATTGAAATTGTTGAAATATACCATGAGCCGTGAATGATGAGTGCAATATCTTTGGTCATTTTCCCTGACTCCACTGTCCCAACACAAGCGGCTTCAAGCTTTTCGGTGAACTTCAAAAGTTGTGTTGTCATCTAACCTAACCCTATTTTGAAGCCATGTACACATAAGAATTATTCTAGCGTCACACGTGTATTAATCAATGTGTTAGGATCATTATTTAATTACTCAAAACTTATGTGATCACTTTGGCATAAAGTAATTATATGGTTCATAAGTGTTATAGAAAATTAATGTGTGAATACACCTATTAATTCCTAATTCGATGAGGGGCCGAATTATGAATTATCTCTATATAAATAGAGAGGTATGGTCCTCAAGAAAAACCCAACCAAAATTAAAGAAACTAATTGCATTCCATCATCAAATACCTAAAGCTATTTAGGATTTGCTTTGTAAGGCTTAATCCCAAATTCAAAACCTAAGCTATGGATTCATCAGGTACGTTTCCTCTTATGTTACTAATCATCAGAAACTATCATGGATTTATGGTTTATGGAATTATAAAAATCTTTCAATTGGAAGTAGAGCTCCATGTTTAGTTTCTTTTTGATAATCAGTTTAATAAGTAATAAATTTAGATTAATTTGTTGAAAATTTTATATTATAAAGTCTGTTTTTCCTGAAAGGTTCAGGTTTATATAAAGTATTATAGAATATATGGATTAAGTTTTGATGTTATGTCTTAAGGATATGCATGTTTAGATCTAGTGCAGTAATTATTCTAATGAAAACAAACATTTGTAGATCTTAGATCTGAAACTAAGATCTTTAGATTCTCCTTATACTGTTATAATTTTTGAAATTCTGGAAATTTTTCGAAAACTTTTGAACATAATTTTTGGATCTGATCGGCCTCGGTGACTGGTTTCATAAAATTCTTAGATATTTATATGTAAATAATGTCACTTAGAAGAGTCGAACCCTACAC